CAGGGTGAATTTAGAAAACATCCTTTGATAGAGGCAGAGTGGGAAGGGGCAGGAAAATCTCTCTCTGGAGCTCGCTGACAGCGAGGTGGTGGTGTTACATCAGGTGTGAGTTTGGCCTCAGAAGAGGGTGAGTGATGAGGAAGCTTTTCCCTTTTTGATAATCCCGTCTGCGAGCAGAAGCCAGATGCTTTCTCCCCACTTGTAGCACACTCTGGTTAAGTATTATTATTTATATTATGTAGTAGCTATACATAGTGTTTTATGGCAGTAAAGATACATAAATCAGCAACCAGAAGACGAGGGCTTTGCTCTAAAGAGCTTATAAATCTAACAGCTTGAGCAGCCCCGGTAATGGACACAGTAAGCAGGCAGTCAAGTTGCATGTAGACATGAGCTAAGATGGGTCTCCCAAAGCAGATGGCGGTTTAGGAGAGATTTGGAAGAGAAGCAACCTGCTCCATCCTCGAGAGCGGATTCTCCTGCCGGAGAATTAGAAGGGCTGTGACCCATATAAGCTTGTCCGGGTGGAGAAGTGAAAGAGTCCGTGGGAGAACAGCAACTTGCCAAGAGGGAATGTGCAGGGGGTACTGGGGGTTCATGGCAGGGCTGCCTTTTGGGGGGGTTCTGCAGGTGCATCCCCCCAGGGACAAAGCATCCATCCTTGTCCTAAGTGAAGTATTTGCCTCGAGCCTGAGGCTCCTTATGAAAAGAAGTGGCACCATGTTGTCCTAAAGAAACCAAGGCTCTGCCTTGCTCGGAGATACAGTAAGGTGTTACAAATCTTAAAAAGCAAGAAAACTGCTGGTGCAGGTACACCAGGCTCTCTGGAGCAAGTGGCACTGCAGAGGCCAGTGTCCCTGCTGCCATGGCAGAGAAGTGCTCCAACCCTTCAAACTTGCCCCTTTGATCCCAGGTATCAAACCAAGGGTTTGTTTTTTTTTCAAATTTCTTCCTGTGCTGGCACCGGCCCGGGAGGAACCTGGTCTGGGCTGGAGAGAGATGTGCAATGTCTGGCCGAGCACGCCGGCTCCGGGCGTCTGCATTCTTCTGGCTGCTTTCAGCTCCTGCACAAATCGAGGCTTCACGCTAAATGCATTACACTGTATAACAATTAATCCCATGCTACATATAGAAAGTCCTTACTCATCAATAATGCATGCGGGAGGAGTGATTTTCACTCTTGGTAATAAGGCTAAGACAATGGAAACAAGCAGGTAATGGAGAACATTTATAACGATGTTAATCTAATAATGAGTCTAATGCTGTTAAAAGTAAGACTGCAAACTGGACGCATCCAAAGATAAATTATTTCAAGCATTCATTAACTGATGCCTAATTAATGCTCAATTAGAGGGGTGCTACATGGGAAATGGTTTGGACAGTCGGACGAATTCATTCCAATCACTGAAACCTCAGTCAGAAGCGGGAGGCGGCAGAAGGACACGGCGAGCAGAAGCCGGGGTGGCACAGTGTGTCAGTGGGAGAAAGGCAGGAGATAAACACCCCTTTGCTGGTTTTATCCATGTCAGCGGGGATTTGGTTTTACTCACTTCACCAGCAGGTTTCTGTAGGATTTTTCTGTGCTGCTTTTGAAGCTCTCCCTCCCTGGTGAGCTCTGACACACAGGCTGGTGACCCTCCATCTGCCTCACAACCTTTACAAGATGAAGTTGAAAGGGCTGAATCAGGAATAACAAGTTCAACAAGTTAGACAGGGTCAGACTATCAGGAGAGCTGGGCTGGGACCTCTTGAGAAGTTCCTATCTTGCTTTCCTGCCTGGGAAGCCCAGTGAGATCAAAGTGCTCCTGGCTGTCTTGTCCTGGTGGGACTAGGTTGCTGGATATTGCAACACTGGTGTTACCAGCTTCAGGAGCTTCATGGCTCCATGACCACAACCTCTTTGCTTCTTGGGGGTCTCATTCCCAGATCTAAACTGTGACCAACACCAGGGCATCTCAGGAGCAGCTTCTCACAACACTAGACAATCAGCAGGTTTTACAGGCTTGGAGGGAAAGCATCCTCAATGAGATCATGTGCCTTGTTTGCATCCACTGGGGAGTCCAGACCTTCATAGAATCACAGAATGGTTTGGGTTGGAAGGGACTTTAAAGACCATCTAGTTCCATCTTCCCTCCCATGGGCAGGGACACCTTCCACAAGATCAAGTTGCTCCGAGCCTTGTTTAACCTGACCTTGAACACTTTCAGGGATGGGGCAGCCACAGTTTCTCTGAGTAATCTGTGCCAGGGCCTCACCACCCTCATAAGGAAGAATTCCTTTGTTATATCTAATCTAAACCTACTCTCTTTCCAAGTCCTGCTCCCCTGTTCACCCTTTTTTCCTAAGTATCCAACCTTCTGTTTCCCCATTCTCCTTCCTCCCGAGTTACAGCACTTAAGTAGAAAGACATCCCTGCCTTTTCTCCCTACCATCATACTCTTGGGAAGCTGACAACCAGCAACAACCCAGGCTACCCCCACCGCCATCCATGGCTGCAGGAGTCACATCTCCCTCTCCATAGGACCTCCAGCCGTTAACTCACAGATGCCTGTTAAATAAAGAGATGGACTCGGTTCCCTCTGACCTTTACCTCTGGAGTTATCCCTGCAGGCAGCGAGCTGTTAAACGCTGCGTTCCCTCTCGGCAGAAGCCTCTACCTTGGCCATGCTCCAGGGAGACCCAGGCTGCCTTCGTCCATCGCCGCGCGCTGCTAACAGCCGCCTGTCATCACCATCCCTATACGTGAAATCGTCTATGCTCCCAGATCCCTGCCCGGCTCCACCTCCCGTCAGTAATCCCGTTAGCCTGGCAACTGTCGTGTCATGGAAGAGCGCATAAAACTGTTGTTTGGAAGCAATATGTAATCTTCCAACCTGCTGCGTATAGCTGGGAGATGGTTTATTGATTCAGACCCTTGTGATTTGGTATTTGCAATAACAGACTCTGCATGTGGGAGATCGGCGCAGCACTTGTGCCTGGCAGGATTTTACTAATAAACATAAGATGTACAGAAGGCTTCAAACTCCAGTGTCACCAAGGTAAAGATGGGGAACGTGAAGCCGTCCCACCTTGGCGAAGCACATCCGCGGGTAAAAAAACCCAGCAGAATATGTCTGCAAACATAGTTTTATCTTTTCCATCGTTATCTGGCACTCGGATAATCACAATATCCTCAGGATACCACTGTTTCCCAGGCGGTGCTTGCACGGTGAGCTGCAGCGAGGGCTCCCGTTTTGGCAGGGAGTGCTGGGTAGTCAGCACTGGCACGATGCTCCCACCAGCACAGCCCCTCGCTCATCGCAAAGGCACGACAGCAAAGCCAAAATGCTACGGCGGTGACTTGGAGAACATTCCTTTTCCTACACAGCCGTAGGAGTTGTCGCAAATTAAACGTTCCCGACTCATCACCCCCTTTTCGGCAGTGGTGCAGGGATGAGACATCCCTCTCGGTAGCCGATGCTTTGTTCCTGAAGGGCAGTGCCTGGAAGTTGTCCTCCCCACTGCCATCACAGCCAAGGCTTGGTCCTATGCTTTGGGCAGCGATGCTATTTTTTTTCCTGACTGCCTCTTACTGGTGATTGATGGAGAGTCTGAATAACCCAGTTTATCTAAAATATGTGACAACTTTGCCTTGAAAGGATGGGTCCAGATGGACGGGTCACCTGCTGTTAACTAAATGGTAATAGATCTCCATACCAGGCAAAAGGCAACAGCAACCATGGAGTTATATTTCAAACAGAATTAATAAGAAAACAGTAAGGTTTTTGTGCCTCCCACTTCTATTCAGCTGCAGGCACTGAAGAGAGGGACTGTAAAAGCCCAAGGGGTCCAGGATCTTGGACTAGCTGGTGATAACGACGTTGAGTAATTAGAGATGAACTCCACTTCCACTCTCGTTTTTCAGATTATTACAAGCTGAGTAGAACTCGTGGGCAGGATGGCACCAGCAGCTGTGCGCTGCTCTGCTATTACTCCTTTTCCCCGTAAAGTCCAGAGGCAGAATTCATTAGACATGAGCAAATTTTGCGTATAAGAGGAAAAAGCCAAATCTAGGAGGAAAATCTGAATGAGAAATGACAAGTCTGGTGCAATGAGTCTGAAAAGCCACTCGGCACAGAAGGAATAGCCTGAAAGCAAGCCTGGTGTGAGGAGTGGGAGCGAGATGGGAGCGGGGCGGTGAAACCGGTGCTCTGAGAGCTGAGCAGAGGGAGGGGATGATTCCTGCCTCATTCTCTGCTTCTCTGCTGTGAGAAAGCCCCAGTCACAAGCACATACTGTAGCATTAGAGGATGCAATATGCTTTGCCACAGGACATCCATTTAGAAATATGTCTGAGCATCCCACTTCCAAACGGAGTTTTCGGCTCAGCCTTTCCCACCAACTGCTGACAACATATTTTCCTGCAAATCACTTGGGTTTCAGGGTGTATGGTGGTGTCTAACAACTGTAGTCAAAGGAGATGGTGGGGATGGGTCTGTGCCTTTGGCAGAGCAGGGTGTGCTGTGCAGATTCACTGCCCATGTGTAATTTTAGGTGGTTCACTGGGAATTGCTAAATCTCTGTACCTTTTCCTCTCCGATATGTAAGTGCAGGCGATTTGAGAGATGCATTATAAGGAGGGGTGGGCACATAAAAGGGTTTGCATTTCCTCTGTTTGCTCTCACACCACGAAATTTCCTGCCTGCAGGCAAGGGGCTCTGCTGCCTGCACTGCCAGCGTGAATTCTCACCGAGAAAGTTTCTCCTCCCTGCTCCAGGCTGGGAGCACAACCAGCTGCCTGTTGCAGGCAGGGCGAGGAGGCAGGGAGTACTCCATACATCACGTTTTAACTACTGTGGGTGATGAGCCTACTCATCACAGCCGCGTGGGTAATTCATGAGCAGAGAGGAGGGCTGAGTTAATTGGGGGCGTTTTTCACCCAGAATAGTCTCCACAGCAGTGATGGGTGGGCGGGAGGTGCCCGGTTCCCGCTGACGCCGCTCTCCCCTCTCTCCGCACAGGGGGGTTTGCGGAGCTGCTGCTGGTGCTGCTGGGGCTGAAGGTGCCCAGTGCCCTGGGCTGCCCCACTGACTGCGTGTGCTACCCCTCCCCGATGACTGTCAGCTGCCAGGCTCACAACTTCGTCACCATCCCCGAGGGCATCCCCGAGGACAGCGAGAGGATCTTTCTCCAGAACAACCAGATCACCTTGCTGCTGCGGGGCCACTTCAGCCCCTCCATGGTCACCCTCTGGATCTACTCCAACAACATCACCTTCATTGACCCAAACACCTTCGACGGGTTCGTCAACCTGGAAGAGCTGGACCTGGGGGACAACCGCTACCTAAGGGCTTTAGCTGCAGACACTTTCCAAGGGCTGGTGAAACTCCATGCCTTGTATCTTTACAAGTGCGGGCTGAGCTCCCTCCCCAGCGGGATATTCGGTGGCCTCCACAACCTGCAATACCTTTACCTGCAAGACAACCACATTGAGTTCCTTCAGGATGATATTTTTGTTGACTTGGTTAACCTCAGCCATCTTTTTCTCCATGGAAACAAGCTCTGGAGCCTCCATCAGAACACGTTCAGGGGACTAATAAACCTGGATCGGCTGCTCATCCATCAAAATCAGCTGCAGTGGATTCACAGGCGGGCTTTTCATGACCTCCGAAGATTGACCACCCTTTTCCTGTTCAATAACAGCCTCTCGGAGCTGCAGGGGGACTGCCTGGCCCACCTGGGAGCCCTGGAGTTTCTCAGGCTGAATGGGAACCCATGGAGCTGCGACTGCAAAGCCCGTTCCCTCTGGGAATGGCTGCACAGGTTCAGAGGCTCCAGCTCCAGTGTCATCTGTGAGTCCCCCGAGCAGATGCACGGCAAGGACCTCAAGGTGCTAAGAGCAGAAGACTTTAGGAACTGTTCAGGGTCCGAGTCGCTCCATCAGATGAAAACACACACTTTCTCCACAGCGGACAGAGGAGCCTCCAAAACCCACCACCCTCACCACTCCTCCAAGGAGAAGGGGAAGGAGAGAGGGGCTGAGAACAGTTTGCACAGCAGCCAGCCCGCCGGCCCCCCCGGCTCCCGGCCGGGCTACCGCAAACCCGGCAAGAACTGCACCAGCCACAAAAGCCGTAACCGAACCTCTAAACCGGTGTCCTTGGGGCCGCGGAAAAACGGGCAGGAGGTTCCAGACTATGTGCCTGATTATCAGCACAAATTCAGCTTTGGGGTGATGCCAACGCTGTCCCCCAAACGCAAGGGTAAGTGTACCCGGCGGACGCCCATCCGCCCCCCCAGCGGGGTCCAGCAGGCAGCCGGCTGCTCGGGGCTCAGGGCGTCGCTCCTGGTTTTTATGGTGGTGTTGGCGGCCGTCATCCGCTGAGCCCCCGGCCGCAGACAGAGCGGAGCTGTACTGCCACCAATCTACAAAGGACCAGAGTTTCTTTTCTTCTTCTTTTTTTGTACGTGGCTAGCGTTGGCCTGGCGAAGGGAAGAACGCTGTCTCGGCTTCTGACGGTCTCTCCGTGCCCGGCCGGGCTGCCAACGCGGACTGTGCCGAACGCAGCGGGAGCGGATTAAAAGGCATTATCACACCTTGTCACAAACAGCCTAACCGAGCACCTACAACAACAACAAAAAAAAGCCAACCTTACAAAAAGCAGATAACAGGGACGGTAGCCAATTCGTCGGTGACAGCAACCGGACAAATGGACTGTATCCATGCTCTTGTGAAATCCTGTTCATTTGAGAGCGCTCCGAACGACCCCTCCAATTACTGAAAGGAACATAATTGCTGTAAAAACCATCACCAATTAAGCCTACACTGTTTCTCTGAAAGTGAGTGCAAGGACACTGATACTGATGTAATAAGGACATTGGTTCTCCCATGTTTTAGCCCTTTTGGCTCCAAACCCAGAGGCCAAAGTTGGCTGGGAATCTCTTAGAAGACAATCTCAAACCCCTGAATATCTCAGGCATTACAGCAGAACAGGGCTTGCCTGCTGGGCTTGGAGTAGCCAACAACCAAAGGAAAGACTGATTAGAGGTGGAATTAAACAAAAAAAAAACCCAACAAACCCAACACTTAAAGAAATGAGGTACCCGCAGGAGGTGTGTTTTTTGTAACCATGTTCACACATCCGAGAAAAAACCCCAACAAATGCACAGGCTCTCCCCTTTCCCCTCAATTATCCATATGTATGTCTTACAATGTTTATAAACTATATGGAAACTATATCTTCAGAACTAAGGATTGTATTGTTGAATTTATAGCAGACCAGTATATGATTTTTTTTTTGTTTTTTCTCAAGAAAACAAACCGGCAGCAGTGCCTACAGATGCTGAAAGCCATCGGGCGGGCTCAGTACATGCGGGGGAACCACAGTGGACCAATGTTCTCAGCAATTCAGAGCACTAAACTTTGGGAGGGGTGGGGGGGGGTTGTGTGCGGTGCAGCAAAGTCCATATCCAGAGAGCTAAAACTCACCCTTACACCCTAATTTGTAACCAGGGGAGAGAGAGAGAGAGATTAATTAGCCCAAATAAATAGAGCCATAGAGCTCTGTCTCCGGAGAGCGCTACAAGGCCCCGGGGAAGAAAGGGGCTATTTTGGGGCTGGAGGCAGAGAGGGGCTTCCCAGCCATGTTGGTGGCGTGAGGACCTTTATAGCTGGACTAAGGTTTTCACTGGGGCAGCAAGGAGCAGCTCCCAGGCTGGAGACAGTCCTGACAGCATCAGGAGAGGTTTTGTTTCTTAAAAGGAACAGGTTGTATCATGGGAAGGGTCAGAGAAGGGGGAAACTACAGCTCATAGAGGACCGGTGAGAAGCGCAGAGCCCAGGGCTTCTGGTCCGTGGTAGGAGAGAGATATCAATGGTCCAAGAGACCCATATGAAGGGGGTTGTGGCCCCTTCCAGGTGGAGGAGAGGGAGCAGGTCTGCCTGTTCCCCTTGTCCCAAATTACACCCCATGGTGGAGGGATGTGTTTGCCAGTCGGGGGCACAGCAGAGCTGGCAGCTTCACCGATGGCAGCCCATGGGCTCGGAGAGGTGCTGCCCAAATTCTGCAGTCGGTGTGAATTCCCTGTCAGCGTGGATGTGTGAGACCAAACAGACACTGAAGTTAATGAAACAAGGGAAATAAAAGTGATCTTGGACAAGAAAAGGCTGCTGTTCATTTCCTAACCATATCCCAGCATGTTTTGAGCCCGTACCTCACGTGTGGGGCTGGAAATCCCAAAGGAAACGGCTTGTGTTTTCCATCAGACACACCACTAGCTTCAGGAAGAATGGGCCATCTTGGGAAATCCGCTCTCCTAACTGCTTTGGGGAAGGGGAGAGGGTATTTACACAGTGTCAGATCCCTTGGAGGTATCTGGAATTGAAAATGGGAAACTCCTGATGGAAAAAAAAAAAAAAGAAACTTCCCCAATGCACTTATGGTTATGAGCAGTTGGATGGTGGGAGGGGGAAGCTGGAAGGGCATGACCTCTTCTCTCCATCTTACAAGTGAGGAAGGGCAGAGGCTTGGATGCTTCTCTTTCAAACAACCTTCTTGGGGAATAGCAAGACTAATTCTGGGAGGAGAAAGGAAGAGGTTACTTCATCAAGCCCTCTGCCTTCAAGCTCCTACTCAAACTTTTCTGTCTACAGGGCTCTAAAGCTCCACTAAAGGGATGTCCAATGCAGCCAGAACAAATAATCCGTGATCTGAAATAGCTCCCTCATGTCCTACTCTCTATAACCAATAGCAACTGAATGAGTCTGGCACTGTCCCTTAGAAGTGGAGAATGTTGTTATGTTGGTTATTTCGTTTCATACTCTGGAAATCAAAGCTCTCAGTGGGAGAATGAAGAAGAGAAGCACTTTATTAATTTTTTTTAAGTCTGCGTGTAACTCCTGTAATATAGGAGTGAAATGTCAGCACAGGAGATGCTAATGTTTTATAAATGATTTGGGTGCAGCAGGCACGGTGGATAGTCTTTGAGATGAATTATATTAGAACAGACTACGCCTGGCTCAAAACCATAATTGTATTTTTAGTATCTTTTCCTTTAACATGTAGGAAAAATAAAGGCAACTCCATGGTGTATTACAAGCCTTGTCAATCAAGAGCTCTAACTCTTAGTGATAAAGGGGACTGTTTAAAAACCAGAAGGGAGACATGATACACTGCTAAATAGGAGATGTCTCTTGACACGGCGTCATGGTTTAACCTGGCAGGTAGCTAAACACCACTTGACTGCAGTGGAATGGGGGAGAGAATTGGGAATAATAAGTAACATCCATGGGTTGAGATAAAGATGGTTTAACAGGACAGAAATGGAAGAAATAATTAGTAAGAACAATAGAAATAGAGTATACAAACCAAATGATGCACAATGCAATTGCCCACCACCTGCTGACCAATGCTTAGCCAGCTTTGACCCCAGTTTATATACTGACCATGATTCCATACAGTCTGGAACATCCCTTTTGTCAGCTGGGATCAGCTGTCCTGGCTCTGTCCCTTCCCAGGTTCTTGTGCCCCTCAGCATCCTCACTGGTGGGGTGAGGAGCAGAAAAGTCCTTGACTCAGTGTAAACACTGCTGAGCAACAACTAAAAATTGGTGTGTTATCAACATCATTTTCATCCCAAACCCAAACCACAGCACAATACCAGGTACTAGAAAGAAAACCAACTCTAACCCAGCCCAAACCAGGACACACAAGAACTACAGGTTTCTGATATTCCTCCTGCCTTCTCCTTAGCTGCCATCCCTCCCTGCTCCCATCCTTCTTCCACAACCACAGCTCTTTGAGGATAAACTAAATTTTTATGGCATGCTCTGACACTCAGCCTCAATAACGAACTTCCCATCTGCGTGGTTCAGCTCTACCATGGCCCCTGGTTCACGCTCGTGTGTCTTTTCCCCAATCCCTTCCTACAGCATGTCTTCATGCATTTTGAATGTTGCTCTGAGGCCTGGCAGAAATCCCCTCTTCTCCGAAGCAGCGCTCCCACAACCTCCAATCACGCATCTCTTCAGTCGAGCGGACGTAGGTATCACTGTGACTTGCCAGAGATGGTCTGGCTCAGGCTGGAGAAGAGCTGGAGAAATTTGGGATTTTGTTAGAATTGCTCCCAGACACCAGAGGTTTTGATAGGGAAGTCCCTGGGCTAAAGAGCTGAACCCCAAGGTGGCAGAAGGCACTGTGGCTGCTCTGAGGTGATGCTGGGCAGTGGTTCACGTGCTCCTGTTTGTACAGGCTGGATTGATGGGCTGAGGTTCAAGAAAGCCACATGCTGGTCCTGCACTCGAGTCAAAACAATCGCATACAGCACTCCAGGCATGGGGCAGAGTGGCTGGAGAGGTGCCTGGACCTGGAGGTGCTGGTTGACAGCAGCTGAACGTGAGCTGGCGCGTGCCCAGGTGGCCAGGGGCATCCTGGCTTGTACCAGCAATAGCGTGGCAGCAGGACCAGGGCAGTGATCATTCCCCTGGGCTCAGCACTGTGAGGCACCTCAAATCCTGGGTTCAGTTTGGGGCCCCTCACAACAAGAAAGACATTGAGGGGCTGGAGCGTGTCCAGAGAAGGGAACAGAGCTTGGGAAGGGCCCGGAGCACAGATGTGATGAGGAGTGGCTGAGGGAGCTGGGGGGGCTCAGCCAGGAGAAAAGAAGGCTCAGGGGACACTTTCTTACTCTCCACAACTCCCTGAACGGAGGTTGGTCCCTTCTCCCAAGTGACAAGCAATAGGATGAGAGGAAATAGCCTCAAAGTTGCTCCAGGGGACGTTTAGATTGGATATTAGGGAAAAAGTCTTCACTGAAAGGGTTGTCAAACCCTTGCACAGGCTGCCCAGGGCAGTGATGGAGTCACCATCCCAGGAAGGATTTAACAGATGATGTGGCACTTGGGGACGTGGTTTAGTGGTGGCCTTGGCAGTGCTGGGTTAACAGTTGGACTCAGTGATCTCACAGGTATTTTGCGACCTAAATGGTTCTGTGATTCTATAAACCTAAACCTCTACATGTTCCTATCCCAAGCTCAACCTTCAGACGCGCATTGATCCCTCTTGGGGTTCAGGCAGACAGGCTGCCTGTTGCCAACATGGGCAGACACTCCCAATAGCTCCTCACAAGCTCCAAATGCTTCCCCTGGGAACCGTGTCACTTGAGCATTTATTTGCTCACTGGTTTCCCTTTCCTTTAGTGCTCTCCAGTCTGTGCTGCTCTGGCAGACGAGACGAGTCCCTGTCGCTCTGGCTGCTTTTCCCTTCTTTCCATCAGTGAGCTTCAACGCTCTGACTTTGGGCTGTTCATGCAAATCCTTTCCATTAAAAAAAATAAACACCAGAGGACCCAGAAGAGACCCCAGATTGTGCCTCTGGAAACTCACTCCCGGCAGCAGAATCCCGTTTCCTGAGTCGGAGCCAATTTTCTCTCCTTTGTACCACTTTTCCACAGTTTCAAGCTAATATGGAGCTTTTCGTACATGCTTTGAAAACAGAAACCACGCAACACTGCATCTCTTTTATCCTCCCAGGCAGGATGAAAACCAAACACCTCTTGGATACTGAGAATAAATTTTCAGTTTATCAGTCTAAACCAACACCATGAGTCCGCAGTTTCTCCTATATTCCCCATTGCTTCCCAGACCACACTTGCGTCCCCCCAGCACCAATTCCAAATTATTTCCTTTTTCTCAGAAAGTTGCTTTGTGACACGTACCCCTCTTCAGAGGGACAGAGCAGAACAAAAGTGTCACTTCACATTTCTTGCAGCTAAATAACACTTTTTGCAGTTCTTCAAGTTCATCCTTCCCTAAATCCCCTGTCTGTGTATTCTTTCCCTGTCTTCGCTTCTACCACTCCTGCAGGAACACCTCCCAAGAGCCCATTTCCCATTGCACTACCAAGAGTATTTCCCTTTCCATCTCTTACTATTTCCTTGAGGTCCTGTTGGTTGGCATTATCCCCTTGTTCCCCCAGTCTTTTTCTCTCCCTTACTGCATCCAGCTCACCACTGCTTTGGTGAAACATGAGATACGGACACCAGAGCTGATGGGAACAGTGATTCCAGGGATGCTCTTGTATTCTGGAGTTTGTGGGTTACAGATGGAAGCAAAAGCAACTATGAAAGCAGGACACAGGTGCTCATGC